ATCTTGTGCATGCATAGTGAAGGACTAATTCTCTTAATGTCTGCAATAGTCCAACAAATGGCTCCCTTGTGCTCCCTTAACACTCGAAGTAACTTCTCTTCCTCCAATTCATTTAAGGAATTAGCAATGATAACCGGAAGCATAGATGACTTTCCCAAATAAGCATACCTCAAATGAGATGGAAGAGGCTTCAAATCAAGTATAGATGCCTGCTGAAGAGATGGCAGTGGTGGTGAAAAGCTCTTTTCCAAGTTCTCATAATTTGGTGCTCTCTTATAAGACCGAGAATGTGTAGCCTCCAAATAGTGTATCATATGCTCAACTTCAGGATCTTCCTCTTTGATAGCCGAAGGACAAACAAGACATGTTTCTAGAAGATCCTTAGAAAGCCTGTAAAAAGACTCGGTAACCACGTGATCAACAATATCCACTCGAAGGCATGAATTAGATTATGATGGATACTTGATGGCCTTCAAGATATTGAATATAACTTTTTCATCTTGGACTCTTAGAATGAGCTGCCCCTCTTGCACATCAATCAAAGCTCGGCCTGTGGCAAGAAACGGTCGTCCTAAAATGATAGGGATGTCATGATCCTCTTTCATGTCAAGAATTATGAAATCAGCTGAAAATATGAATTTGTCCATCTTGACCAATACATCCTCAATGACACCCCGATGATATTTAATTGATCGATCAGCCAATTGTAATGATACAGTGGTGGCCTTGGCTTCTCCCAATCTCAGCTTCCTGAAAATAGACAAAGACATCAAATTAATACTGGCACCAAGATCACATAAAGCTTTACTAAAATTTAAATCTTCAATAGTGCATACAATAGTAAAACTCCCCGGATCTTTGATTTTCGGTACTAACTTCTTTTGAAGGATAGCACTACACTCTTCCGTTAGCATTACTGTCTCATGTTCTTCGAGTTTCCTTTTGTTTGAAAGAATGTCCTTCATAAATTTGGCATAACTCAACATTTGAGCTAATGTATCGGCAAACAGAATGTTTATGTGTAGCTTCTTGAATACCTCCAAAAATTTTCCGAGTTGAGCATCCAATTTCTGTTTGTGAAGCCTTTGTGGGAAGGAAATAGGAGGCACATAGGCTTTGACCTGTATCAGAGCCTTTGATGTTGATGGCTCCGGTTCTTCTTCAATTAGTGTCTCATCCTTTGGATCAGGTTCTTGCATAATCCTTTCTTCCTCAATGGGTGCCTTTCGGTTTGACCCTTAAGGCGTGTCCTATGATTTCGGGCAGTTGCACCCCACTTCTAGTGGTAATAGCTTGTACATTCTCCCTTGGATTTGTTTCGGTGTTGCTAGGCAATGCCCCCTGTTGCCTTTTGGAGATAAGCTTGGCAATTTGACCCACTTGACGTTCTAAGTTTTTCAAAGAGGCATCATTGCGCTCTTGATATTATAATTGATGGTTTGCCAACTTAGCAATGGCCTTTTCCCAACCTTCTTTTTTCTCTTATGGCTTCGAGTTGAGTACATTTTGATTATTTCCATAAGAAAAGTTCGGATGATTTCGCCAGCCAGGGTTATAAGTTTGCGAATAAGGATTGTACCCTTGGCGTTAAAAGTTTTGAGTATATGTCATTTGCTCAGTAGATGCTGAACCACTACCTATCAATGGACAACTCGAGCTTGGGTGGTTTGCTCCACAAATATCACAAATAGGTGAAGATTGTACCATATGAGCGGAATGAGAGCTCGAGGTAGATGTAGAAAGTCCTTCTACCTTCTTTACTAGTGAGTCGATCTTTGCTTTTACCATTGAGAAAGCTTCACCATCTTGAACTCCACGAACCCCTCTTTGTGAACCTCTATCCGGCTAGATAGAACTTTGTTCACTCATGACCTATGCTTCTCAAATACTCTTCTTCTTGATTGAGCCATTAGATGATGAATCCACATTTGAACGGCAAAAAGGAGTCAACCGGGCATAAAAATAATTCACTTGTTGACCCATTGTGATTTCATGATTTGGACATTTTCGAAGCATATCCTTGAACCTCTCCCAAGCCTCATGAAAGCTCTCAAATTCGGATTGTTGGAAAGTGGTTATGTCATGCTTGAGTTTGGCTACTCGGGTGGTGGAAAGAATTTGGTTGTGAATTTTTGAATAAATTCCAACCAACTATTTATACTTCCGGGCGGTAGAGTCTCAAGCCATTCCCTTGCCTTATTCTTCAATGTATGAACAAATAACATCATCTGGATCGTCTCCATATTTACGCCTGCATATTTAAAATTTCCAACATTCTCTATGAATTGTGCAACATGTGAGTGAGGATTCTCATCAATCCTTCCATAGAAATGGAATGGTATTGGAGAACAAACTAATAACATCCGAACGAAGTTGAAAGTTTGGATGTCCATATGGAGGGTAGACAATAC